GCTAGCTCCACCCACTCACCCTGCCTTCAAACCTCCAAAGTATCATGGCCCCAAGAGAAAGAGCTCCTAGGAGCCCACTCAGGGTCGGGAAGCCGCCTCAGGCTAGCACCGAGAGCTCCTATTGAACCTTGGTGTTCCTTTGGCAGCCTTGCTTTCTGTTTTTTTTTTTTTGTTGTTGTTTGTTTTTGTATGTTGAGACAAGATCTTAAACTGAAGCCCAAACTGGCCAAGAATGCAAAGCAACTCTCCTGCCTCAGCCTCCTAAATGCTGAGGTTTCAGGCATAATCCTGTCTTTTGTCCTCACCTCCCTTCACCCACAGTCATCACTTTCTCTAGAAAGGCTTAGGGAACACTCTTGGCCAGACACTTTACTTACTATAGGAACCAAGGGCTAAACGAGAGTTGTCTTTGCTCTCGTAGAGTTCACAGTTAATAAGGATGGTAGACAAACATGGTACCACACATACATGATTCTAGATTGGGGGCAATGCTGTGTGGCTAACATAGAGGTGACTTGTGATAATTTTTGTTTTTTTGTGAGACAGGGTCTCACTATGGTAGTCCAACCTGGACATGGACTCTTTTTATGTTTGTTTGGCTGGTTGGTTTTTTGTTTTCCAAGAGAGGGCTCCTCTATGTAGCCCTGGCTGTCCTAGAACTCACTCTGTAGACCAAGCTGCCCTTGAACTCAGAGATCCACCTGCCTGTTCCTCCCAAATGCTGTGATTAAAGGTGTGTGTACCACCACTGGGACTGGACTTGAACTCTTAATCCTCCAACTTCAGCCTGTCCGGTCCTGGGATTGCAGGGGTGTACTACCACACCGGCACCCAGTGGTGTGTTTCAGTAAAGGCATCTGCTTTAAATGTGAGGGCCAGGAAAGGCTTGTTTGGGAGAATAACATAGAAACAGAATTCAAGAGGTAAGTCTGGCACAAAGCAGGGTTTCCCACATAGAGACAATTGTTCCTAAGCAAGTCTTCACCTTTCATGGCACAGTAGGAGTGGGACAGGCTGGTTTGGAAGGGTGAGGGAATCCCTGGAATGAGGCCCAGCAGGGCTGGGGCTGGAGTGCCCAAGCTCCCTTAGGAGGGATCCAGAGCATACAGGAAAGACTGCCCTTCCAAAAGAGAAACAAAAGGCAGAAACAGATTAAGATAGACATAGGGAGTAGGTACGAGAACTCAGTAGGTGAAGGTGCTCACTGTCAAAGCTGACACTAGTTTGAACCCCGGAACCTAGTGGCAAAGGGGAGAACAGACTCCTCTGTACACCATGGCACAAATGGACACACACACACACACACACTAAATACTTTTTAAAATTTGTTTTTAGATGTATTTATTGTATTTTATATGTACAAATGTTTGCCTGCATGTATATGATATTCATGTGTGCACCACATTCATTCATTTCTGGTGCCCAAAGAGGTCAGAAGATAGCATCGGTTCCCCAGAACTAGAGTTCTGGATGGTTGTGAGCCACCATGTGGGTGCTAGGAATTGAACCCAGGTCCTCTGAAAGAGCAGTAAGTACTCTTCACTGCTAAGCCAACTCTCCAAAATAAATGTGTTTTTTTTCTTTTCTTAAACCTATAGCAAAGAATTTAAAACATTAGGGCTGAGTAGGACATGGTGACAAACGCCTTTAAGTCCAGCAGCATTCGAGAGGCAGAGGCAGTAAGATCGCTATCAGTTTGAGGCCAGCCTGGTTTACATAGTGAGTTCAAGGCCAGGTATGACGAATAGTGAGACCCTGTCTCAAAACACCAAAAATAGAGTCAATTTTTAAAAATAGGTTTGGCTGGGCACGGTGAAGCAGGCTTGCAATCCTAGCACTGGTATTAGGCTAAGAAAGGACAACAGTGAGTTTGAGGACAGTCTGTCAGCCTTGGCTACATAGCAAGACCCCACCTTAAAATAATAAAAAGGCTTGTAGCAGACAGAGGGTTCCTATCTCGGAGCTTTTGTTTTTCATCGTGAAAGAAGAGGCTCCTAAAAGTGGCTGAGACGCAGGAGAGGCTTCAGTTTGAAGGTATAAAATCCTAGTCACAGCCAGGCAGTGGTGGGCATGCCTTTAATCCCAGCACCCAGGAAGCCTGGTCTACAGAGTGAGTTCTAGGACAGCCAGGACTACTCAGGGAAACCCCGGCTCAAAAACAAAACAAAACAAAACAACAAATAAACAACAACAACAAATCCCATTTGCTAAGGGAGGGAAGAGGGAGCTGGTTGCTGAGATCTCTGGGAGCATACAGTTGAAGCTGATGATAAGCATTTTAGAGTGACAATAGTGTGTCTTCTGGATCCATTTCCTCTGTGGGTCCTTAGCTGCTCAAACACAAATGCAGGCAAATGCTGGATCCATCTGAGGTCGGTGCTTAACTGGGGAGGTTGGGTGGAAAGGACAGACAGGGAGGGGAGTTGAAGAGGTTCAGGAAAGAATGCCAGTGCAGTCTGCACCCTAAGGCAGGGAAGGGGAGGCTTTCCTAAAGAAGGGTCACAGTTCCCCAGCCAGCTTGTCCAACAGCTGCAGTGAGCCAACCCAGCAACAAGCCATAAGGAAAGGAGATCATATCAGAGAGGGGTGTTGGATTCCGTTATTTCATAGATGTTTCGGTTTCTAGTGATGATAAGGCTCTGGGCACAGCCCTGGGACCATCTCACTTGGGTGGAAGGGAGGCGAAGGTCTGAAAGCAGAGCATGCTGGACAGAGCAGCGCCCGGTGACGTCATCCCAGCGGCACCGCCCCCCACCCCCCACCCGGTGGCGGTGCGCCTCAGGCCATCCTCCCTCCCTTTTCCCTCCTCCTCCCGCTTCTTGTCTCCACAGAGTCATCGACCCTTCCCAATTTCTCGCTCCCGTCTCCGTCCACATTCTCTCCTCCATCCATCTCTCCAGCTTCTTCCCTACTAACGAGTGTAATTTCCGCTTCTCTGGGCGAATTTGGGAAGCGGTACTGTCTAGTAGGTGTGATGAGGAGTCTGTGAGGGTTGAAATCCCACACAGCTATTTTACTGCCCAGTTTTACTGCGCCTCGACTGTAGAACTGGGGTACGAACAATAGTTCCTAATTCTCCTAAGGTCTCTGGACGACTCATAGGAGTACAAAGTGTTTGGAACAATGTCGGGACACAAGCCATGCTTGATAAGACAATGGCTATTAGTGTAACCGCCCACCGCCTTCTCTGGCCTCATCTTCAGAGAAGCCCTGTCTCCAAAAACAAACAAACAAAACAAACAAAACAGATGTGGAGAAACCCTGTCTCCAAAAACAAACAAACAAAAAAGACGTGGAAGACTTGCTGTTGGAAGACAGTACGTACAAATGAATGTTCTCTTCTCCCTTGGATCTGAAGCAAAGCAAAGTATGTCTTGTGCAGGGCTGACAGTAGGTCCTACGTGAATACACTTTAGTTAACTGGCACTTCCTAAGGTAGGCTGTCTGTCCCGGCAGGTGTCATATAAACTGCGTATAGGCATGTCGTGGAGGAAAACAAGGTGTGTGGGGGCAAGTTCCTCCCTCCACAACCCGTGTGCAGTTCAGGACAGGCCTCCTCCCGCAGGGCTAGGCCTTTCTCAGCATGACCACATGGGGGCAGCAGAGAATAGGAGTGGCTTCAGAGAAGGGTCGCACAAATACTGCTTATTTTTGTTTTTTGTTTTTTTTCTTCAGAAAAAAGGTCTTCAGACAGCTGGAGAAAGCTATATTTGTCTTAGAGTCCCCTTCTGGATTGCACACTTGATAATAATAAAGTTTTACATTTTAAATTCTCTAACTTCAGTGTGTGTCTGTGTGTGTGTGTGTGTGTTTTCTTCTGGTAAGAGTGAAAACAGAATCTTGCCCCAGCCTGTATAATATATATATTTTTAAATTAATTTATTTTTTATCCTGACGGCAGCCTCCCCTCATATTTTCTTGCACATGAGCGCCAGTGGAGGCTAGAGACTGGAGCATAAAGGGAAATTCTGACTTCTCTATGTATGTATTTGTATATGTATACGTATGTTGTGACGGCGCACACCTTTGATCCCAGTACTCCAGTACTCAGTAGGCAGAAGCGGGGAGATCTCCGTGAACCCCAGGCTAACCTGGTTTGCATGGAGAGTTTCAGGCCAGCCAAGGCTGCACAGTGAGATCCTACCTGCCCAAAAATAAAAATCAGAGTAGACTCTAATCCTTGCCTGCCATTAGTTAGATACTCTGCTTTAACATATGCGACTCTATGCCATCAAGGGACCAGACAGTGGCAAGAAGGTCATAAGTTCAAGGCCTGAGAAAATAAGTTAGAATAATAGAGTTAGGTCTTTGTCCCTGCACTGAAGACCCGACAGGAAGCAGGCTTCTTCTAGGCGTTTGGGAGAGCCGGAAGAGCCTGAGCCTGTACCTAACTCAGAGAAAAGGAGGTCTTGTGGGGAGCTACAAAGTCAGGGACCTCCTGGAAGTGCTCCCTCCACCTCTGATGGCTGTGGAATTTGGGCTGCAGATGTTAAGAAAGGATTCCCAGAGCAACTCCAGGAAAGGCGGGAGTTAGCCCTCCAGGGGGAGGAAGGGAAACAGTTCAGAAAAGCACAGTGGGGGGCAGAGAAAACAGAGGGGCTCCCGCGGTTCCCAAAGAACAGCTTTGAACTTCTGTTCCGTCCATCGTCAAAGTTTATTTTCCCTCTCCTGCCAATGAGTGAGCAGCTGCTGTGGGGTCTAGAAGGCCTAGCCCAGAGCCTCCCCAAGGAGGCCTGTGTTTGCTGTGCGCCTGCTGACAGCACCACGCAGGTGCAGAACATTCCTGAAAGTCGCACGGCTCAGTTAGAGGCTGGCCCAGTGAAATGCGACACCTGTTTGCTCACCTCCAAGGAGATGGGCAGGCGTCCATGAAAAACAACAAAACCAAAAACCCAAAGCCACTGCTCCTCCCATTCCTCATCCATAGTCCGGCCTCCACTCTCTTGGGGGGGGGGGGGGGGGGCTTCAAGGATTCCAGCTGAGAAAGACAGAGTTGGGGACAGGAATGCTGGGTGAAGGCTCAGAATCACACCCCTCCCCCAGCTCTCCACCTCTGGCACCCTAGAGGAGGCGGCTCCAGCCCTTGCGTTTCAAATCCTGTCTCCTAGTAGGAAAGGACATTTAGTCAACGACTTTCAACTCTTCTAAGAACAAGCCAGAACGGTGGGGGTGTGGAGACAGAATACAGAAAGGGCAGACATAAGTGAGCTGGCCACGCGGACGGGACGCAGAGTGAAGATGCGGCTACTGCTCCTCCTTGGGGTGGCCGCAAGCAGATGTCTGCATGATGACACCCAGAAGTCCGTGCGCCTTCTCAGGCCCCACCTCTCCCAAATGCCCACACGCTTCCGCTCCTCGGTCCTTCCTCTCCCCATCTCCCGTGATGCTCAACCCCTCAGAATCCAAACCTACTATACAAGAGAGCTTGCATCCAGTGAGGCTTGGGCTCCTGATGGGGAGGAAACCAGAGGAACATCTCGAGCCCTGGCTGCACTGAAAGAGGCCGCTCGAAGAATTCAGGGTATCCTAGCAGGTAAGTGAGGGGTCAGGAATTCCACCGAGAGCTGAGGGCGGAGGGGTCTCGGAGAAAGAAAGAGTCCGTCACAGAAAAGGAATTAAACCCAGATGATGAGGCGAACTGTTCTCTTGCCTTAAGTCACGCCAGTTCAAGGACCTCTGCTTCTGAGTCGAGACCCTACACAATACTGCCGTGCCGTCTGGGGAAACCCAGACACCCCAAACTACCACAGGTGAGTTTGTCACTGTTAATGTCTTCTTCAAAGACGCCTAGAGAATGTCTCTAGCTCACTGCTACATGTTTTTTGACAGGTGCAGCCTCCTGAACCCAGGGTATCAAGGAGAGAGTTGCCTCGGGGCAAAGGTGAGAACAAATTACTGGTGGTTTTAGGGATCCAAAGGTCTCTAATCTACCTAGAGCTTCCTAATACCTCAGCACATACCAGGAACCGGTTTCAGACATGTGAAACTGCCTCCCATCTTGTTCTTCGTAATAAGGGACATTCCTTGTCCCTTTCCACTCATGCTTCTCAAGTACATTAGAGCAGAGATACGGATGCCTAGGGGCAAAACTCTGCTTTGTTTGTTTGTTTGTTTGTTGTTGTTGTTTTGTTAAGACAAGGTTTCTCTGTTTAGCATTGGAGCCTGTCCTGGAACTCACTCTGTAGACCAGGCTGGCCTCAAACTCACAGAGATCCACCTGTCTCTGCTTCCCAAGTGCTGGGATTAAAGACATGTGCTACCACCCAGCCTTTTTTTTTTTTTTTTTATAAAACTCGACTTGAACCCAGGCCTCATATGTGCTCTGGGTTATACATACTCAGTTAGGATGGTATGAGACAGCCCACAAATATCTCCTTCCTTCTAACATCCAGCTTGCATCCATTTGCAAGGCTTATACTAGATTTCATTCTCTGACAGATTCCTGATGCCCACCTGCGTGGTTATTCCTTGTGGCCAGAGCATGGTCTGCCCCAACTAATCCAACCAGATGGCCCTGGAGTCCAAAATACTGATTTTCTCCTGTATGTGAGGGTTGCCCACTCTTCCAAGTGTCACAAAGAGGTGAGGTTCAAAGCCCATCCCTTTCCCTTGCTGTCTCTCTTAATCTGAAGGTTTGTAAGGAGGGATATGGAAATAGAAGCAGTTTCATTGAGTTGGACTTCTTTGGAGGCCAGTTTGGAGTATGCTGATAAGGCTTGCGTTGTGTAGAGCTCCGAACCTTCCAGGCTGCCCATGGGCACCACCCCAGCAGAGCTCTACAGAGCCCTGGCTTCCTCTAATTTCAGGCAGACTCCTGGCTGTATTACCTTACTTTCTTCCTTTCTACACCTTCTCTCGGCCTGTTTGCAGCCCTCTGTCATAGCTTATGCTGCCTGCTGCCAGCTGGACTCAGAAGACAGGCCCCTTGCTGGCACCATTGTCTACTGCACCCAACATCTCAGCAGCCCCAGCCTCAGCTATGGTGATACTGTCGCCGTAGGTAACAACTGCATGATGGGTGGGGGATGTGGGAGCCTCCCACGAAGCGGGAGAACCTAACCAGGGTGGAACAGGAAGTGTCTTAAGCCCTACGGAGAGCTGGTTAGGCCGAGGGGCTGGAGCCCTGCTGCAGAGCCAGCCCCTCCCTCTGCAGCTGTCTGTCCTCAGGCTACACTACATGAACTGCTCCACGTCCTGGGTTTTTCTGGAGAGCTCTTCAAGAGATGGCGGGATTGCCCCTCAGGACTCAGTGGTAAATGGAAGAAATGAGGGGGTGGGCTCCCTATAATGCCAACCAGAGGGAGTTCACCCCCTTGACTCTGTCTCACCCTCCCTAGGTTCTCCCTTTCCAAAGCCAGCTAGAGAGAATTGTTCCACGAGGAGGCGTGTGACAAGGCGAGACGCGTGGGGACAGCTGCTCCTCGCCACTCCGGCTGTCAGCCGCAGCCTAGCCAAACACTTGGGTGTGCCGGGGACTGTGTTGGGTGCTCCTTTGGAAGAAGAGGTGAGAATAACACCTTGGGACGATGATGACCAAATCATCCCAGACAGGGAGCAGTCAAACTATTTGCTACCTTTCCACCAGGGCTCTTTGTCTTCGCACTGGGAGTCCAGGCTACTCCAGGGTTCTATAATGACTGCTACCTTCCATGGTGCCCAGCACACTCGACTTGACCCGATAACTCTGGCTGCCTTTGAAGATTCAGGCTGGTATCAAGTCAACCACAGTGCTGCAGAGGAGCTCCTGTGGGGCCAGGGTAAGAAGTAGGCAAGGTCTGCGGGTCAGCACTTATAACCCAAGTCAGCTTTGTGGGGAGATATCGTTTGGAGTTTGCTACTAAGGTGTAATTCAAACTGTAAGCAAAGCTGGTACTGAGGGATGTCTAGGGTTTCATCCTTTTTGCCCCCAAGACAGGGTCTAGCTATGTACCCTTGGCTGTCAGAACTCACTATGTAGACCAGGCTGGCCTCCAAACTCACAGAGTTCCTCCTGGCTCTTACTCCCGAGTGCTGGTCACTATGCCCAGCCTGAAGTTTCACCTTGGGTGCTTTCTTTTCTTATTGCACAAGCAGGCTCTGGCCCGGAGTTTGGCCTGGTGAGCACATGCGGGAATGGATCGTCAGACTTCTTCTGCACCCGCAGGTATGTGTTGAGTGGGCAGGGGACTGTACAAACTGTCAGCGGTCCCAGGGTCATTTCTCCACTCTCCCTGCCACACAGTGGGCTGGGCTGCCACTACCTGCACCTGGACAAGGGACGCTGCTCCTCAGACCCAATGCTAGAAGGCTGCCGCATGTACAAACCCTTAGCCCGTGGGGTAAGTGGACTACTGAAGACAAGAGCAGGCCCAGGAGGGGTCCACCTCCATGGTGTCACACTTTACCACCGCTTTCCCTGCACTCTAGAGTGAGTGCTGGAAGGAGGAAAACGGACTCCTCACCAGAGCACAGAGCCCCCATGGGGAGCTCTACCATCTTCACAGCCGTTGCTTCCTTGCCAACCTTACCTCCCAAGAGCTCTCCAAAGACAAGGTCAGCCCGCCCTCGGTAACTCTCACAGGCCGTTGCTATTTACATCAATGCACGCACAAGGGAGCGTACGAGGTGCGAGTGGAGGGGTCACCGTGGGTCCCCTGCCTTCCGGGAAAGGCTGTTCAGGTGAGATGTTTTCTTTTCTTTTGTTTTTACGAGACAGAGTTTCCATCCTGGAAATCTCACCACCACCCGACCCAAGTGATTCAGAGCACACAGGCAGAAAAGTTGGGAAATGCTTGACTGGTATCACTGTCCAGCTTCCTGTGTCTTACTCTGTAGTCCAGGCTGGCCCAGAACTAGCTCTACAACCCAGGCTAACCTCAAACTTGTGACAGCCCTTCTGCCTTAGTTTCTCATAATCCAGGATTACAGAACTTTGAATTTTTGTTTTATTTATGCATTTACTTAGCATGCTGGTGATCAAATTTCTTTACTCAGCGCATCACCACCCTTTCCTCCCCCCAAATGTCTCCTTTACCCATTTTCCTTAGAAGACAGCCCTAAACAAATAATTGAAGCTGTAGCAATTTCCTCTAGATACCCGGATACTATGGTCTTCTCTACTGTCCCCAAGGCCGCCTGTGCCTGAGTAACAAAGGTACCGGCGCCGTCACTTCTCCACCGACGAGTTTTTCGACCCAAGACCTGCTATTCCAGCTGTCTTTAGGACTAACAGGGACCCCAGGCCACTCTCTGGGGAAAGAAGAGAGACAAGAGCTGGCTGAGGTAGTTCTGCAGGCTCTGGTGACAAGAGGTGGCACTAGCAGGTAAAGGGGACAGCTCTGCCTGTGAGGACAGTGGGCCATGCAGAGTGCTCATGTGCTTTCTCTCAGGCTCTCCTGTGTCCTCTGCTCTTCTCACCCCGGGACCTGCACTCACTCTACAGGCATCCCCTTTTAAGCACGCCTCCTCTGTTAAGAGATCTCACCTTTTGCTCAGGTGCTATTTCCACAGTCCATTCATCACCACAAATTTGGTGTTCACTGTGAGTATGTGGAAGTCTCCAGGCTGCCAAGGGCCTTCCGTTGCTACACTGTACCGCACCCTGACTCTGACTTTTCAGGAGAAACCCCTCCAAGTACACCATGGAAAAGCCATCTTTACCACAGAACACAGCAAGTAAGATCAGTAATAAGCTTTGCACCCTGCTTGTCAGACATTTGGAATCGCATGTTTGTTTTTGTTTTTGAGAAGCTTATTTATTTTTATGTATATGAGTGCTCTATCTGCACGTGCAACTTTCTGCCAGAAGAGGGCAGCAGATCCCACTATAGGTAGTTGTGAGCCACCATATGGTTGCTGGGAATTGAGCTCAAGAAGAGCAGTGCTGTTAACCTCTGAGCCACCTCTCCAGCACCTAAAATCACTTTTTTCTTTTTGTTTTGTTTTTCGAAATAGATTTCTCTGTGTAACAGCCCTGGCTACACTGGAACTCACTTTATAGACCAGGCTGGCCTCAAACTCAGAGATCTGCCTACCTCTGCCTCCCAAGTGCTGGAATTAAAGGTGTGCACTTCCTATTACTGTCTGATGGGTCCAATGTGATGTTAGGCTTTTTTTTTTTGGTTTTACGAGACAGGGTTTCTCTGTATTGTTTTGGAGGCTGTTGGACCAGCCCGGCCTCGAACTCACAGAGATCTGCCTGCCTCTGCCTCCCGAGTGCTGGGGCATTTTTTAAAATAATTATTTATTATACATACAGTGTTTTGCCCAGGCCAGAAGAAGGCACCAGGTCGCTTTACAGATGGTTGTGGGTCACCATGTGGTTGCTGGGAATTGAACTCAGGACCTCTGGAAGAGCAGCCAGTGCTCTTAACCTCTGAGCCATCTCTCCAGCCCATTGGGCATCTTTTCACTAACATAACCTTGTCTAGAAAAAGATACACAAAATGCATGCTTAACAAATATGATTTCGATAGGCAGTCTGCCTTTAATCCCAGCACTCAGGAGGCAGAGGCAGGCAGAGGCCAGTCTGGTCTATAAAGTGAGTTCTGGAAAAGACAGAATTGTTATACAGAGAAACCCTGTCTGGAAAAACCAAAACAAACAAAAAATAGGGTCTCCCATCCTAGAACTTAGGGATTTTAGTTGTATTTTGTTGTTTTGGGGAGCAGGAGGGGAAGGAGACACGGAAGGGTGAGACAGGGTTTCATTGTGTAACCCTGGCTGTCCTATAACTTACTTTGTAGACCAGGCTAGCCTTGAACACAACAGATCCATTTGCTTCTGCTTCCCCAGTTGTAGGGTTTATTTATTTGTGTTTTTGTGGGGTTTTTTAGTTTGTTTTGAGACAAGGTCTCATTTAGTATCAGGCTGGCCTCAAACTCACTATACAGCTGAGGATGACCTTGAACTTCTGATCCTCCTGCCTCAGGAGACTGGGGTTATATGGTAAATGTGTGCCATTGCACCCCTTAAGCAGTGCTCATAGATCTATCTACCAAAACTGTGTCTTCCCACAAGCTACTTGCCACTACCCTGGGTCTCCTTTCCGTACTTAAAGCTGCTGGAGACTTGGGCCTTGGTTTCCTCCCCGTGTTTTGGGTTCAACATTGGCTTTTACTGGTTTGTTTGCCCTAGTGCTTGACCCAAACATGTTTCCTTTCCATAATGGCTGAGCACTATTGCAGGACAAACAGCGCCTTTCATTTTCTAGGTTGCTGACTTCCATGGACCATAACCTCTCCATGACTGACGGACTTCTCTCCATGGGATTCTGCCTACTGTTGCTAATCTTGATGGGCACATTGGGAACTTTGGCTTACCAGAAACGAGCTACACTCCGAGTGGGACCATCTACAACTTAATCATCATGAGAGATACATACATGGCACAGGAGATCAGTTTAAAATAAGCAGGTGTGATGCCAGCCAGCAAGATGGCTCAGTAGTCATTTACCCAAGTTGGATTCCTAAGGAGCCACAAAGCGGACAGAGAAAACCAACTCCTACAAGTTGGCCTCTACTTCTGCATGTGCATTGTGGCTCATGAGTACCCATATACAGACATACATACACACATGCAAAATTACTTAATTAAAAGAATTATTTTATGTGTATGAGTGCTCTATCTGTACGTCTGCCTGCTTGCTAGAAGAGGGTGTCAGATCCCATTATAGATGGTTGTGAGGCACCACATGGTTGACGGCTGAGCCATCTCTCCAGTACAGCCCCTCCCCCCCTCCTTTTTTTTTTTTTGGTTTTTCAAGACAGGGTTTCTCTATGTGGCCCTAGGTATCCTGAAACTCACTCTGTAGACAAGGCTGGTTTTGAACTCACTGAGATCTGCCTGCCTCTGCCTCTGGAGTGGTGGGATTAAAGGTGTGTACCACCTTGCCTGGCTTAAATAAAAAATATAAACAAGAGTACTTACTGCTCTTATAGAAGACCAAGACTCAAAGCACCCACATCCTTCTGTAACTCTAGTTATAGGACATCCAACACCCTGTTCTGACCTCAGTGGGCACTGGCATGCACATGGTACATACACATACATGCAGGCCCTTACACATACACATATAAAAATAAAGACCACTGGATGGGAAAATCTACTTATTGTAACTACTGTTCTATTTTCTTTAGAATGCCTCTTTGCCAGGTAACTTTTCAATAGTTTTGCCATATATAAAATGTGGAGTCTTATAGTGAAGAACTATTCTTTAATTCCCTCCCCAAATAAACAGTTTAATTTGTGAAGCATCACTTATTCACTTATTTTCAGACTGTTGTAGACCAATGGCAGAACATTTACTACCAGCCCCAAGGGCATCACACGTTTTAGAAAAGGTCACTGCTATTCAATACTTATCTTTCATTGCTCTTTGGAGTCAAACAATGTACAGGATCAGGCAATTATTTCCTTCTCTTGATTTTCCTTAATTCATTAAATCATCACTGGGAAGTCCAATGGTTGGGACATCACATTTTATGCTAGAGTTGGGTAAATGTGGTAAAATCAGTCATCTATAGCCAACAGTAGTAGCCTTAAGTTATAAGTCACTGGTTCTTTTTAGTGATTACAGAAGTTTTAAATTCTTGAGATTTAGACATCTCCTGTAAATAAAGCAGGTGTCTGATGGTGGGGGATGTCCTTCTGTATAAATGTTTTTTCTTTTGGTTGATGAAGAAAACACTGTTTGGCCAATAGAGGCAGGAAGATAGGCAGGACTAGAAAGGTAGGCAGAGAGCGTGAGGAGACGCCATATAAAGACTGGGAGGATGGGATGTGCCAGGCGTTCTCTGGTAAGATAAGGCCATGTAGAAATACACAGATTAGTAGTTATGGGTTAATAATTAAGACAGAGCTAGCCAGTAAGAAGCCCTAGGTATCAGCCAACAGGATAATAATTAATATAGCATCTCTGTTTGTTCATTTGGGGCTGAAGCGGTTAGAGACCTGACTGGAAAGAAAAACACCAGCAACAAAATGTTGCCCCACGTGGGGTGCCAATTGAAGGTGGGACATTAATGAGTCCACTAGATCCAAGACAAATGATAAATGGGTGTTTTATTGGGGAACGGCTTACACAGATAACAGTGAAGAACCACCACAGCATTCCTGCTACAGAATCTGCAGTCTCTGCCCGTGATGCGATCCCCACTCAAGAGGAAGAGAGCCCACCCTGCACTTCTCTACCTTCCCGCCACAACCACATCTGAAGCCACGCCCAAAGGGTGTGGCCACTAACAAATTCACTGGCAAGACGAAATGTTACTGTACATCTCCTGAAAATACAGCAGGTGTCTGACAAAATCAGATTTGTTTAAGTATCACATTTACAGAGTCCAGGTGACACATTGCTAAGTTAAAAACAGTGCTGGCACTTGTCATCAAGTTCAAGCTTTTTTTGGTTTTTCGAGACAGGGTTTCTCTGTATTGTTTTGGAGGCTGTCCTGGAACTCGCTCTGTAGACCAGGCTGGCCTTGAACTCACAGAGATCTGCTTGCCTCTGCCTCCCGAGTGCTGGGATTAAAGGCGTGCGCCACCAACGCCCAGCTGAAGCAATTTTTTTAAGGCAGTGTCTCACTCTGTAGCACTATCTGGCCTGGAACTTGATATGAAGATCAGGCTGCCTCTGCCTCCTGGTACAGGGGAGAAAAGTGCACCCTGCAGTTCAGGCCAATCTTTAAATGACACACTTGCACTGAATCTTCACTAGAGTCATGGCCTTTGGCTTGAGCACATGTAGTTATCTTCTTGATCTGAAGGCCTTATCAGTCTTTACCAGCAGTGGCAGCCACTGCTTGGTAAAACTTTGCCACAAAATCTGGCTCACTGACCTCCAGCTGTCTGACAAATTCATTGCGCTCCTGCTCAGCCCAACCTCGAAACCACTGGTCCCAAAGACGTAGTTGACACTCGAAGATACAAGGTGGCCGGTTTGCCCCAGATACGCTGAGCTGCTCCAGACCATCCAGCAGTGGCTGTAGCTTTCCAGGCACTGCCTTAGCTACCAGGTCTTGTAGAAAACGTTCCCGCTGGGGACCTGACCAACTGGCAAACCAGTGAAGAATACACTTCATCTCCTGGGAAGTGATGTAAGACATTGGAGGAGGGGTGGAACTGGCAGTATCGTCTGGCACTGAAGGCAACACAGAAGGGAAGGATGGTGGCATTGATGAGGAAGATGATTCCAGTGGCATCCTGAAACAAACAAAACTCTGTTAACACACTCTTTACAGAGAGAAACCTAAACATAACCTCCTAAGCAACAAACCCTACTGTACCCAACCATATCCATCAACTCAATCTAGAGGAAACCAAACAACAGGGCCCTTTCTTATGATAGGACTTCACTATATATGTGTGGCCCCAGACTGGCCACGAATTTGGTCCTTCCTGCCTCAGCTTCTTGAATACTGGGATTACAAATGCACACAGCCATGCCACATGTAACAAGAGCCTTTATTTTTATGTTTATACAATTACCTTAAAGAAGTCACCCAAGAATAACTTCATTTGGTATTTGGCAAGCCTTCTTTCCTTTTCAATGCCATTGGCCTAAGCCAGGTGTGGTGACTCACACCTATAATCCCAACACTTAGAAAGCCAAGATGGGGGACTGCCAAGAATGAAAAGCCAGCTTGGACTACATAGGTGCACAGTAAGTTCCAGTCCAGTTTAACTTACAGAGGCCCTATCTCAAAACAACAAAAACACATGCCAGGCACGGTGACACATATGGTACAATAGCAGCAAGGGGCAGGAACATCATGAGTTAAAGATCAGTTACATGGGAGTTCCAGGCCAGCCTAAACTACATGAGACTCTGGGTCAAACAAAAAATAAAACACACACACACACAGACACACAGACACACACACACACACACACAACCTTTCCAATCACTGTTTATTACTTGTAGATATTTCTGTTCTTTTCAGTATGACAGGTAAGCTCACATGTGGATTGATCTGACTGTACTTTGGGTGCATTGCTCTGGATATTTTCAAGGACCACAGAATTCACTTCTGAACTTTTTTTTTTAAGATTTATTTATTATGTATGTAGTGTTCGGCCTGCATGTATCCCTGGGGGCCAGAAGAGGGCACCAGATCTTATTACAGATGGTTGTGAGCCACCATGTGGTTGCTGGGAATTGAACTCAGGACCTCTGGAAGAACAGCCAATGCTCTGAGCCATCTCTCCAGCCCCTACTTCTGAACTTTTAAGTCCAACATTCTCAAGCATATGTAGCAAAACTTCAGCACTCTTCCAGGACCACCAATCTCATACCCAGGCCTACTGCTTGTCCTCAGTACACTTGTCAACACTACTGCTAAACTTTCTTTAAAGGGACACCTTTCAGATACTTGGTGGCTCTTTAGGTACATAAAGCCTTGATGGCCAGGGCAATTTCAGACACAGACACAGACACCTGATCCTCTTGGTTTGAATGATTTGGAGGCAGAGGTTTCTGGGTCAAGAGAAGAGTAATCATTCTCACAGGTTACCTCAAGTCTTACAAAAAATCTGGCTGGCCTCAAATTCAAGACCCTCCTACCTCAGTCATCTTCCAAGTGATGGTGTTAAAGATTACAGGCATGTCAACACCTCCACCCACAGTCTCTCCCCACATTCCTTCTAATTTTCATGTAGCTGGACATGAAGCTAAGGATGGCCTTGAACTGGGATGCGCCACCACACTGTTTCTGTGGTGCCAGGGATAGAACCCAGAGCTTCTGGCATGCTAAAAGAGCACTTTGCTAGTTGAGTTACATCCCCAGTAAAACAACCAACTGAGGGGCTAGGGAGAAGATTGCTCAGTATTTAAATGCACTTCCTGCTCTCCAGAGCACTACCACCTATAGTGTGGAGGGGGCATACACAGGCCCACAGACAGACACACAGATACACAATTAAAAATAATAAAAGCAGGGGCTGTAGAGACGGTTAAGAAGTTAAGAGCACTGACTGCTCTTCCAGAGGTCCTGAGTTCAATTCCCGGCAACCACACAGTGGCTCACAACCACCTTGAATGAGATCTGGTGCCCTCTGCTGGCACACAGGGAGAACACTGTATACATAATAAATAAATAAAATCTAAAAAAAAATTCTAAAAAAAAATAATAATAAAAGCAAGCTGGGCAGTGGTGGAGCAAGCCTTTATCCCAGTATTTGGGAGGCACAGGTAGGTTGAATTCCAGGCCAGCCTGGTCTACAGAGTAACTCCCAGGACAGCCAGGGCTACACAGAAAAACCCTGTTTTGAAAAACCAAACCAAATAAACAAACATGCTTATTCTATCTTCTCTCCTACTTCTGTTTCAGGTTAGGTTCATGTTTATCCTCTCTAAAATCAAAGTGTATACTTCTATAAACGTTGGTACAAGCAACTTGTCCCAGCCTAAATGTTCATATATGAACCAAGCACCTTCTATGCAATATATACACAGCTGCTGAAATTTGTCAAGAATTTTTATTATTTTATGCTCCCTCTTTTTTTTTTTTTTCAAGACAGGGTTTCTCTGTGACTTTGGAGACTGTCCTGGAACTAGCTCTTGTAGACCAGGCTGGTCTCTAACTCACAGAGATCCGCCTGCCCCTGCCTCCCAAGTGCTGGGATTAAAGGCATGTGCCACCACCGCCCAGCTTTTTGACCCCTCTTAATAAATTCTGTACAGGACCAATAAACTTCAGAGGTACATAAAGGCCTTGCCTCAAATAAAGTAATGGTTAAAAAAGTCAGAAGGCACACTTTCCAAGTTCTGAAAAAAGTCCCTTTGCTTTCTTGACTTAGGCAGCTTAAGAAGTGTGATACGGCCGGGCTTTGTCTCGAAAAACCAAAAAACAACAACAACAAAAAAAACTGTGATACGATGCACACGTGTCTCTGAACAGTTTTCCTTACTCGTTTATACCTATAAGTGCCATCAATTTTGCATCATGCATCAAGTGTCAGCCAACTTAATCCACAGCGTTTGGGTCCTACAGTTTGTATCTCTAACAATGAAAACCTTCACTCCTCTATGACCTAAATTACAACTTCTGCTCCAAGTTGGAAGATATGTATCGACCAAGAAAGGTATCCCTAAAGATCAGTTCAAACCCCGGCTTAGGGTGACTGCCATTTTCAAAGTGAGCGTCCAGGGAGAAGTTCCTCCTAAAAGTTCTCTTTTTCAGGGGAAGGGGTTCTTTTCCCCCATGGTCTTGCCACATGGCTTCAACCGTAAGCTTAAATTCAAAGTCATTAATAAATTTACTGCCTGGGATCAAAGACACAAAGCTACTTTTTCCCACGTTTGGAAGCCGCAAGAGTCTTAGCTCCCAGGTGCTCTTTAGACCGAGCGGCCAGGATGCAGAGGATGGGAACCACAGAGTTTTCGTCACGGGAGCAGGAGGGTGTAGCTCCAAATGACGCTGTAACAATAAGCGACACTTACTGAAAGTAAAACTACAGGAGGGTTCTCCAAAAGGAAACCTGTAGACATCAAATCTTTACCTGTTACCTCCCCTTTCCTCTCAAAGAGCGCCCAGAGATCACAATAGTCCTTCAGCTCCAGCTCCAACTCTCTTAGTCTCTTCCATGTTTCCTGAAAACCCTAAGCAGAGCCAACCCAGTAACCCACGCACTTCCGGTCTCAAACCAGCCCCAAATACCCAAGTACCCCGGCGCCTCAGCCCCAGGTCCGAAGACGCCCGAATATCTCCGATTATGGTTATGCGCGATTCGAGGTCTTCCGAATAGATTCGATTCAAAGCCTCGGCAAGACGAAAACAAACGATCCTGAACGCAAACAGGGAGGGGCGGAGGCTGGGCAAATGGAAAGAGCTGATTGGTACCGATGTGGAGACGGAAACAGCCGAACAGTTCCGGAGGAACCCGGGGAATTCTGAGCAGTAATAGAGGGGTAGACTATGGCAGTGGGCGGGGCCAATTCGGTACGTTCGAAGGGCGTTAGCGGAAATTACCGAAGATGCCCGAAGCCGTCGGGACGGACCCGAGTACCTCACGCAAGATGGCGGAGCTGGAGGAGGTGACTCTGGACGGGAAGCCTCTTCAGGCTCTGCGGGTGACCGACCTGAAGGCCGCACTGGAGCAGCGAGGCCTAGCCAAGAGCGGGCAGAAGAGTGCCCTGGTCAAGCGGCTCAAAGGGGTGAGAAGTCAGCGTTGCCGAGGTGTCGGAGGGGAGCGGACCCGGTAGAGACGAGTCTCCGCCGCGGCGCAGGCGCAGTGTCCGGGCTCGGCGCGAGCTCTCAGGCCGCCAGCGCGAGCCTGTGGATCCACGCGCACGGTAGTTGGTGTGGCTTGCGCTGGAACAGAGATAACGCCGGTTCCCGCCTTAACGGCAGCGGCGCGAGCCCAAAATGGGAGGGTGCGCGCTACTCTCCCGGAGTGTCTTAAGCTCCTTCCTTCTTCCCCCACCCCCTCCTTGTTTGTGTCTGTGTTTTCGGCGCATGCGCTGCAGAAGGAGTTAAATCCCTCCACAACCACCGGTGTGACTGGCCTTAAGGGGGGCGAGTAGGGCAGGGTCCGAGTTAGGGGTACAGTTGGGCGGATAGCGTTGGTGTCTCTGGCCGCAATAATACATTTGGGGTAGGGTAAAAATGTCCGCTTGATTAGATGAAGGGGAATCTTCATAGAAGGACTTGGTGAAAGACGGGTGCCTAATTTGTAGGGAATCGAGAAACAGTCTGGATAAGAATTTGGTGAATATTGTAGTGCGAGAGGTGAGACAGATCACTTTAGGCTGGGGATTTCGTGTCAGTTTGAGTAGATGAGAACGGGCCTGTCCTGAGGTATACATATTGTGTATCGGTTTGATGTAAATGGAGGGAGGGTGAGATGGACCAGTGTGATTAGAGTTCATTAGGGTTCGTGGCTGATAGTGCCGATTGGGACAGGGTTAGTTCAGGGCTTGAGTTGACAGACCGTTGCTTATCCCGAAGCTGACAGTTTGTGGGTGGGTGTGGATTAAGTCAAACTACAGATTACAAGGTCTATGGTCAGTTTTCTCTTTGAAATTTTAATAATTTGATTAGTCTGAATGTCACTCTGCTGAAAATTATGCCAGTTCACTTAAGTTTCAGTTCTGAATAGCTAACCAAGTAATAGTCAGATCCTAATCAGCAGCCTCATGGTTTCGTGTAATTTAAAGCTTGTTTGAGTATTTGGAGTGGTTCCCCACCCCCGTTACCAGATTTGAGAGTGGCTCCTAGTCAAAATTGCAGACAGTAATAGGGACTCTGGTACCTGTTCTGTCACTTTTGCTGATTTCTATGACATAGCCAGGTCACTGAGTCTTTGTATGCCTGTATTTCATATCTGTATATTTGGGAGCAGTAACCATGGCTACCATTAAGGGTCTCACGAAGATGAATGAGAACAGTATTATTACAGGGCTTTTATGCTCTGTGAGAGGAGTATGGTATAAATGTATATTTAAGTAATTTAATGAAAAGGCTGTGGGAGAGGTAGAGATCTGGGTTGCTTTTTGGTCCCCCCTCCTGGTTTCTTATTTTTGCTCTTCTTTATACCAGGCTCTAATGCTAGAAAATTTACAGAAACACTCAACACCCCATGCTGCATTCCAGCCAAATTCACAGGTAAGAAAAAAGATTTGTTTAGATAAAATGTGCTGTTTGAAGAAAACGGTAAATAAAGGAGTTGGTGTTGTGTCTTCCATGTTTATCAAAAGCAGCATTTTCTTAAATTATTTTTATTGCAAGTGTTCCCATATTAGACAATTGCTGTCTTTTTTTTTAAGGTTATTTTTATTTTATGTGTATGGCTGATTTGCCTGCATACGTATTAGTGTGTGTGTCTGTGTCTGATTTCCCTGCATACGTATCAGTGTAGTGTGTGTGTGTGTGTGTGTGTGTGTGGTGTGTGTGTGGGTACATGTGTTTGTGCCTGTGCGTGTTTGCGAGCGCGTGCATACCTGGTGCCCACAGAGGCCTGAAGAGGATATTGAATCCTCAGGAACTGGAGTTATAGACAGCTGTGAGCCACCATATGGGTGCTGACTTGAACCTGGGTCCTCTATACAGCAGCTAGTCCTCTTAACTGCTGAGCTGTCTCTCCAGCTCTCAGACAGTTGAATTTTAATCAAGACTAATTTTGCATAAAGAACTGGAATTAAAAAAGTATCAGTGGATCATCCCAAAAGATATGGCTCTGATCAAGTGTGCCACAAAGACTCTGAAGTCACTTATTTGCCATTAGTTTGGGGAAAAGTTGTCTTTGAATATAAATGTGGAATAAAATACTTGCTTATCAACAACTCTTATTGACAATTTTTTTAAAGAATGTGATTAATTTATTAGTGCTAGCTGCCTAACTATATACAGTTACTCTTAGACATCCCTAAAACTTTTGTTTTTTAGGACAAGAAACTTAACATTTGGAGGCCTTAGTTGTCTCACCTGTAATAAGAAAAGTAGTTGGACTTAGCTAGTAGTTACATACCTGCTCTGTTGGGATAGCTGGGAGAAGACACTTTGTTGTTTTTGTTTTGTTTTGACTTTTTTGTTGTCTTGTTTTGTTTTTGAGGGTTGAGACAGAATCTCCCCTTGTAGCCGTGATGGCTTGGAGCTCACAATGTAACCTGTGCTGACTTTAGACTGGGGCAGTACTCCTGCTGCCAGCTTCCCTAGTACTGGGGTCACGGGCTTGTGCTCCCGCCTCCAGCTTTCTACATGTATTTTGTTTTGAAGATACTATTCTATAGTTAAAAACAAGACATACATTTCTAGACCATATCATCTCTTAGGGTGCTTTTCAACTTTTAAAAATCCCTTCATTTAGTGTTATACACTTAAAGAAAAATGCAGTGGTGTCTGGGCCCAGGACTAGATGAGGTCTCAGGATACTATGGAAAATCTTTCTGTTCCCTTGTTAATACCTCTAGTCAGCTTTCTGAGGTTAGCAAGCATAAAAAAGTACCTAAGGGGCTGGAGAGAGAGCTCATTAGTCAAGAGTGCTTGCCACTCAGTGATTCAAACTGGAGCTCAGATTCCAGCACATACTATATTGGATGTCTCCCAAACATCTGTAATTCCTAAGGATCCTCTTCTGGCCTCTAAGGACATGACTGAGAGGGCGCGCGCACGCGCACACACACACACACACACACACACACACACCTGCCCACCCACCCACCCCAAGGGGGGTACGTGTACATAAACACGTAATGAAAGTCGAAGAGATGGCTCAGTAGTTAAAAGTACTTGTTGCTCTTTAGAGGACCCAGATTCAGTTCCCAGCACCCACATGGTGGCTCATGGCCATCCTTAACTGCAGTTCTAGGACATCCCATTTCCTCTTCTGGCTTTGAACACCAAGCACACACATGATGCACATTTATCCATGCAGTTAAAACAGTCATACATGTAAAATAAATAAGAATAAATCTTAAACAATTTAAAAGAACTACTTCAAAGAGTCAATTCAGGGTTGTTTTTAGGTCGTTGCATTTTAGACTTTTAAATGTTACTTGTATTAACAAAGGTTTTGCAGCAAACATACTTGTTTTCTTACACTTGGAACCCACAGTTCATCAGTGTCTGTTGAGTACTGAGAGACTCATTTAGTGTAGGTGAAACTAAGTGTTTACTGTTAGAAAATACGATGGAAAACATTGACTTGCTTTTTTTTTTTAACAACTTTTTAAAAAATTTTTTTTTTATTTGCTTTGGCGCATATGCCAGGGGTGTCAGGTTCCCTGGAACTGGAATTACAGGCAGTTGTGAGCTGCCATGTGGGTGCTGGGAATTGAACTCAGGTCCTCTGGAAGAGCAGTTAGTGCTCTTAACCACTGAGCCATCTCTCTAGCCCCTTGACTTGCTTTTATAGACATGTAAGAAGGACTTGAGGGGGACTTGTGAAGAGAAAACTAAAGGACATAAAGAATGATGTGGGAATGTTAGAGACAGCAACCCTGGGATGGCTTGCTTTTTTTTTTATTGTTGTTGTTGTTATTATTATTGTTTGTTTTGAAACAGGAGGGTCTCTCTATGTAGCCCTGGCTACTCTGGAATTCCCAAAGATCCTCCTGCCTGTCTTTGCCTCCCTAGTGCTGGGATTAAAAGCATGGGCCACAGTGCTTAGGATGCTAAAGGTTGGTTGGGTTGGAGTGTTTGAGGCAGAGACTTACTCTGTAGCCTAGGCTGCCCTCCGACTATGGCAGTTCTCCAGCCTCGGCTTCTCTCGTGGTGTGATTGCAGATACAAGCCGTATGCATTTCCCTTTCTGTGGTTTATTTAATCTTTTTTGTTTGTTGTTTATTTTTATTTATTTAATTTTTATGGGGGTTTTCAAGACAGGGTTTCTCTGTATAGCAGCCCTACCTGTCCTGGAACTCATTTTGTAGATCAGGCCGTCTTTGAATTCACAAAGATCCGCCTGCCACTGCCTCCCAAGTGCTGGGATTAAAGGCATGAGATACTACTGCCCAGCTGTTTTGTTTATCTTTTTTTAAAAATAATTTATTTAACTCTATTTTATGTGCATTGGTGTGAAGGTATCAGATACCCTGTAACTAGAGTTACAGACAGTTGTGAGCTGCCATGTGGGTGCTGGGAATTGAACCCCGATGCTCTGGAAGAGCAGCCAGTGCTCTTAATCGCTCTCCATCCCCCTTGTTTATCTTTTAATGCAAGTGGAGTTACAAGTGTGTCAAATGTTGAATGTTATATTGCTTTGAAGGTTGTCCTGGAACTCGCTTTGTAGACCAGGCTGGCCTCGAACTCACAGAGATCCGCCTGTCTCTGCCCCCCCCCCCAAGTGCTGGGATTAAAAGCATGCACCACCAGTGCCCGGAGTTGATTGGTTTTTCAAGACAGGGTTTCTCTCTGTAACAGCTCTGACTGTCCTGGAACTCACTCTAGAAAATGTATTTATTTTGGCCAGATGGTGGTGGCATATGCCTTTAATCCCAGCACTCGGGAGGCAGAGGCAGGCGGATCTCTGTGAGTTGGAGGCCATCCTGATCTACAAAGCTACACAGAAAAACCCTGTCTCAGAAAAAAAAAACAAAAAGAATATTTATTTTGCTTATATGAGTGTTTTGCTTTGTATTCATGCATGCTATGTCCGTGCCTGTTACCTGTAGAGGTCAGAAGAGAGGGGTTAGGTCTCCTGGAATGGAATTACAAATGGTTGTGAGCTGCAGTGTGGGTGCTGGGAACCAAACCTAGGTCCTCTCCAAGGACAACAATTGCTTCTAACTGCTGAGCCACCTCTCCAGCCTGGCATTTATCTCTTCTGAGACAGGAACTCACTATGTAGACCAGACTGGCCTAGGACTCACAGAGATTGGCCTGCTTTTCTTCTCTAGTGCTAGGATTAAAAATATACATCATACCTATTCTCAGTTTTGAGAAAAATAGTAGATTATATTTTACATAAATTCTAGTTTATAAAAATTTAGATGAAAAGACACAATTCAGTCTGGAGATACAGCTTACTGGAAGAGCACTAGGTGTGATCTCTCTCTCACACACACTTCACACACACTTGGGGTGGGGGTAGAGGCCGGCCAACAATAGGATCCATTATGGTAGCACACCTATATACTACTAAGGATTTCAAATTTGAAGCCAGCCTGGACTATGTAGTGAGACCTTGTTTACAAAAGAAGTATAGTCCCTAGAATTTTTATTTCTTTTTAACTTATTTGTACAGTAACATCACTTTTGGGATTGAATATTTTAAATAAAATATTAGCATTTCTGTTTTTGCCATAATGCTTATTCTGATCTTTAATATAGAACAGCTTAGAAAAAGCCTTCCAACTGGGCAGTGTAGCTTCTGCCTTTGTTCCCAGCACAGGGGAGGTAGAGGTAGGTGGATCTGAGTTTGAATCCAGCCTGGTCTACAGAGTGAGTTACAGGACAGCCAGGGCTACACAGAGAAACCCTATCTCAAAAAAAAACCTTAAAAAAAAAAAAAAGAAAGAAAGAAAGGGAAAACCTTCCAAGAGTTATGTTTCTTGGATGAAGATACATGGGGTAGATTTGCTTTGTAGAATGTCTTGGCATTTCCCTCGTATACTTAGGACTGTTATATCTTTTTTTAATCTTTAACTAGAAGAGAAAAGTCTTACATGTTTAGAAACTCACATTTTATTGTTCATAGAAATTATTTAAATTCATGTTTCTTTTTTTAATTCAGGTTTCTTTAGAAGGTAGTTTGGCTTTGTTGCTTTTAGATTTGTTTGCTTATTGTTTTTTGAGACAGGGTTTCTATAAGTGGCTTTGGCTGTCCTCTGAGGACCAGGCTGGTCTTGAATTTACAGAGATCCTTCTGTCTAAGCCTCCCAAGTGCTGGGATTAAAGACATGCACCGCCAGGCTTTGGTGACCATGCCTTTCGGGAGGCAGAGGCAGGTGGATCTCAGTGAGTTCAAGGCCAGCCTGGTCTACAGAGCAAGTTCCAGGGCAGCCTCCAAAACAATACAGGGAAACCCTGTCTTGAAAAACCAAAAAAAAAAAAAAAGACATGCACCACCACTGACTGACTTTATTTTTAATTTTTTAAATCTTTTTTTATGAGTAAAATTTTTTTAATAATTTTATGTGCATTGGTGTTTTGCCTGAATGTGTGTCTTTTCAAGAGTGTCAAATCTTGAAAAGTTGTAAACTGCCATGTAGATGCTAGGAATTGAACCCAAGTCTTCTGGAAAAGCAGCCAGTGCTCTTAACCACTGAGCCATCTCTCCAGCCACCATAATTATTTTTAAACATTTTAACATATCAAGCTTAAATTTTTTAAAACAATCTATTTAACTTTATTTTATGTGCATTGGTATGAAGGTGTCATATTCCCTGGAACCAGAGCTACAGACAGTTGTAAACTGCCATGTGGGTGCTGGGAATTGAACCCAGGACCTCTGGAAGAGCAGCCATTGCTCTTAACTGCTGAGCCATCTCTCCAGCCCCTCCAGCTTAAATTTGTGATTAGCTTTTTTTTTTTTTTTTTTTTTTTGGTTTTTCGAGACAGGGTTTCTCTGTATTGTTTTGGAGGCTATCGGTCCAGCCCAGCCTCGAACCCTCGAACTCACAGAGATCCGCCTGACTCTGCCTCCCGAGTGCTGGGATTAAAGGCGTGCGCCACCAACGCCCGGTGCCCAAATATATTTTTTATGTACTTATCCATGACAAAAACAAAATAAAACTCAAAGTCTATGACATGGTTAAAACTAGGAAAACAGCTAGCTTTGCATCTTATAAGACTTGGGTGCCCATTGCCTGCATTTACTTCCTAATCACCTAATAGCTGCCCTCCCTTAGACTTTGTCATCCTGTTTGCTCATCGCAGATTGGGGAGGAAATGAGCCAGAACAGTTTCATAAAGCAGTATCTGGAGAAGCAGCAGGAGCTCCTGAGGCAGCGGCTAGAACGTGAAGCCCGAGAGGCTGCAGAGCTGGAAGGTAAGCCCTCCTTGCCACTGCTAACAAGGCTTTTACTTTGATCTCTGTCACCAAGTAGGTGGGTCTAACTAACCCAGGAACAAGTCAGGAGAGATTGCTGCTCATTTGCTTTCAGTGCTTTGTGAAGCCAGATGAGTTACAGTTTGGCTGCGTCAAGGAAAGAGAAGCTTAGTTTGAGGAGAGGAGGAGTTAGAAATAAGTCATGTCACCATTTAGAGGAGGTAGAGCATTGCGCTAGGGAGATGTTGTTTTGTTTTGTTTTGTTGAGCGCTCTTTTTTGGTATGTGTGTCTGTATCTATAACTTTGCCTGCCGTCCTGCACTCCTACATATCCCATATGCTGAGCCCTTCACTCCTCCCCGCCCCGACCCACTGTGTACTTTGCAGAGGCTTCAGCTGAGTCGGAGGACGAGATGATCCATCCTGAGGGAGTGGCTTCCCTGCTGCCTCCTGACTTTGAGAGCAGCCTGGAGAGACCAGAGCTGGTGGAGCTCAGCAGCCATTCACCCAGTACGTATCTCCCTCCCCACTGCGCTTTTTGTCAATCTTGCGTAGTTGGTGGGGGGAGGTAGTGATGCCTCCTTTCATGATAGGCCTCCATGAAAGTCCAAGAAGTCTGGAAAGCAGATATTTGTCGTGGTTTCACTTCTATGTTAACTGCTCAGTGTCTCATCAGTTAGTATGATTTTTCTCTGTGCCTTTTCAGTCTTTTATAGATCTCTGAATTTAGCAGCAGTCACAACTTAACTTTCATCTATTTGTTGTATGTATACATCTAGTCACCACCACTCCCAGATTTGACACCTACTGTTTATTCTTCAACAAATTTTTATTGCATGCCTGTTGTATACCAGGCATGTGCTAGACCCCAGGATATAGTAGAGGAAAAAAAATGTCTTAGGAAATTTACAGTCTAGTAAGTAGATGGATATTGATAAAATCATTATGTAATTACAGCTAAGCTACCTGCTATTAAGGCAATACATACTGTTTTATGGACATAGTATAAAGAGCTCTAGCATAATTCCTATGAATTGGTTCGAGCAAGATTAATTTTTTCATGTGATAGTAATTTTAGGTACCTAATTTTTCCTATTATCTCATGTAAAAGACTATAAATATAGCCTTTGTCTTTTGAAAAGTTTTTTTTTTTTTTGTTTTTGAGACAGGGTTTCTCTGTGACTTTGGAGGCTGTCTTGGAATTGACTCTTGTAGACCAGGCTGGTCTTGAACTCAGAGATCTGCCTGCTTCAGGCTCCCAAGTGCTGGAATTAAAGATGTGTGCCACCATTGCCTGGCCTTTTGAAAAGATTTTAATTGTTTTGTTTATGATAAGGTCTTGATATGTAGCCCTGGCTGTTTTGAAGCTCACTAATATAGACCAGGCTGGCCTCAAACACAGATCTACCTGCCTCAGCCTCCTAAGTGGTAATTAAAAGCAAGTGCCACTGACCCAGCATAAATTAGGGTTTTCAAGGCAGTGTGTATGTGTGATAGTGAACATTAGGTAGGTATACTAAGCCAGTGTGTAAATGAACAAATATTTTCAGCTGTTAGTGCAGTTAATGGTTATCAGGACAGTGAAATATGGACAGTCCCTCCATATTTAACACTTGTAGAATATATATGTTTCAGTTCTTCTGATTAGCATAGAATTCCTTGAAAAAGATAAATTTCTTTGGAGATATTTATTGGAGAGAGATTTCACTCACTCAAGATTAAAAGAAAATGAAAGACCTTTGAGACTAATTTTAAGTAAGGTCTTAGGTTAGTCAATGTCTGTATTTCTTGATCCTAGTCTGAGTCCTTGAGGGAAATTTTTGGAAATTATTTTATGTGTATGAGTGATATTTTGCCTTTATGTGTATGCATCATAGGTATGCTTGGTGCCCAGGGAGCTATAAGAGGGCATTAGATGCCCTGAAACTCGAGTGTGGGTAGTTGTGAACTCACATGGGAGTGCCAGGAACTGAACCTGTAAGAGTAGTAAGTGTTCTTAACTGAGCACCATCACACTTGCTTTGTTTTGTTTTCAAGACAGGGTTTCTTTGTGTAGCTCTGGCTGTCCTGGGACTTGCTCTGTACACTGCAGTGGACTTGAACTCACAGAGATCCACCTGCCTCTGCCTCTGAGCGCTAGGATTAAAGGCGTGCACCGCCACTACCACCCAGCCTCCCTCCCCCCTTTTTGAGCCTAATATAGTCTAGTCTGGCTTCCAGTTCACTAAGTAACCAAGGGTTACTCTTGAACATCAGCTTCCCAAGTTGTGGATTATGGTGTGCTCCATCACATCCTGCTTTATTCAGTGCTAAAGATGAAACCTAGGGCTTGGTACATGATGGGTAAGTAAGTACTCTACCAACTGAGCTGTAACTCCAGCTGAAAATGCTGTTGATAATAAATTTCTTCCTTTTTTCTCCTCTTTTTTTTTGGATCAAACAGCAAGTACTCTGTCCCTTTGGAATTTTAAGTGTATGGGTGTTTTGCCTTTTTGTGTATGTTTGTGCACCATGAGGCCAGAAGAAGGTATCAGATCCCATGGAGCTGGAATTGTAGACAGTTGTGAGCCACCATATGGGTGCTAGAATTGAACCCAAAAGAGCACTGGCAGTGCTCTTAAACAGCTCAACTATCTCTGTAGCCCTCTCCCTTGTTACATTTGGGGTGGGGTGGGGTGGGGTGTGTGTGTGTGTGTGTGTGTGTGTGTGTGTGTATGTGTTGCCAGCCCTCAGCCCCCTGAAAACTTTTTAATAAATTTAACTGACAATTTGAAGTGATTATGAAGTTCTTTAGGGACCTCGTTTCTCCAAAAATAGGGAAATAGTGGACTGTTTCATTCGGCTCTTTTTGTATTGTTGGTTGTTTTCCAAGACAGGGTTTCTCTATGTAGCTCTGGCTGTCCTGAAACCCACTCTGTAGACACAGAAAGCTGCCTGCTTCTGCCTCCCTAATGCATCACCCAGCTGGTTCACTCTGCTCTAACTGCTCTTTTCCCCAGCTTATAAAGCCAGGAGGAAAGAGAGAGCGTCTATTATAAATGAATTATCACGGAAATATGTATTGGAATTTCTGCTGTATGTATCTCTCTATTATTAGAGTATCTGGGACATTAGCACATGTATTGTCTGTTGGTGAAGAGAATAATTGCACATAAAACTTTAGAAATGGAGGACAGTAAGTACATGACACAATGATACACATATACCGTAAGATTTTTTTAAATTATTATTTTCTATTTTTAATCATGTGTATCTGTATGTGGGTCTATTCACAGGAGTGCACTGGATGCCCTGGAGCTGGAATTACAGGTGTTTTAGTCACCTGACGTGGATGCTGGGAACCAAGCTAGGGTCCTCGGGAAGAGTGGTACAGGCTCTTAACCACTGAGCCATCTCTTAAGCCCTTTACTATAGGACTTCTTTTCCTTTTTCTTTCTTTTTTGCATTCATTTAGTGTGTGTATTTGAATGCACCAATGCCAAGGTTCACATGTAGAGGTCAGAGGACAACTTAAGTTGACTCTGTTGTCGTGGAATTCAGGGATTGAGTTCAGCTTGACAAGATGAACCCTCTTGTCTGACCTTTGTTTTATTTTGTTCTTGTTTTTCTGAGACAGGGTCTCTCTATAGCCCTGGAACCTGCTCTGTGCCAGACTGTTTCAGACTCAGGGATTCACCTACCTCTGCCTCTTGTGTGCTGGGATCAAAGGCGTGTACCACCTTGCCTGGCTGTTTTATTTTTAAGGCAGGGTTTTGCTATGTAGCCCCAGGTTAAACTCAGTCTTGAGTTATAACTTCTTTGTCTCTCAAGTGCTATTATTGTAGGCAAATACAACCACATCATAAGATTGAGAGATCTGGGGCTGCTCCTCCGGGGAATTTGAGTTTGATTCCTAGTATCTCCAAGGCAGCTAACAGCCATTTATATCCCCAGTTCCAGGGGATCTAATACCCTCTTCTGGCCACCACAGGTATCAGGTACACAAGTAGTATGTAGACATACATTCAGACAAAAATACATAAAAATTTTTAAAAGGTGAGCAGTCTCAATACTGGAGTAATTAGAGATTGCCTCATGGCAGAAGTATAGATTTGAGACCATCCTTAGAAATCAGTAGAATTAGCCAGGCGTTGGTGGCGCACGCCTTCAATCCCAGCACTCGGGAGGCAGAGGCAGGTGGATCTCTGAGAGTTCGAGGCCAGCCCGGTCTATAGAGCGAGTTCCAGGACAGCCTCCAAAACAATACAGTGAAACCCTGTCTCAAAAAACCAAAAAAAAAAAAAAAAAAAGAAAGAAAGAAAGAAAGAAATCAGTAGAATTGAAATTGGCACAGAGACAAGCGGATTATTTTAGGATGGTACAAAGACACAGTGTGCCTGTGAGTATATTTCAGATGTGTGGGTTTCTGAGAGCCCGAAGAGAGAGTCATTCTGGAGCTGTAGGTGATTGTGAGCCTCCCAGTGTGATGCTGGGAACCAAACTCAGGTCCTGGAAAGCAGCTGACCCATGTTTCTACCCTCTGCAGTAACTTTTAAAGGAGGGACAATAGACTAATACCACCAGTGTACAGTTAGTTTTCAAAAATACTTAGAAAAACAATTTAAAACATAGATTAAAATAACATTACAGAAGTTTTCAAGTGCCAAACCAGTAAATATGAACTTTTAAAATTTTCTAGGTAAGTAGAGAGCTTGAGAAAGTTCTCACTGTGGTTTTTTGTTTGTTTTGTTTTGTTTTGAGCAAGGTCTTCTGGGGACTAGGTGGTGTTTAAAAACATCAAGAGGGGACAGGAAAGGGAAGGAGAGGGGAAGCGATGGGAGAGGGAAAGTGGGGAAAAGGGAGAGAGATGGGAGGTGGGCAAAGTCTTAAAGGGGAAGCAAATGTACACAGGGTGCTCTTAGTGACTGCAGCTGAGGACATATCCTGTCAGGACCCCCAAGGGCAGGCCAGCACAGATGCCTGAAAATTAACACTGGGAGATAGCTCGATCAATAAAATGCTTGACAACCTTAGTGTGGGCCCCAGAAGTTATGCCAAAAAAAAAGCTGAATGCATGCTGTACTTACGATCCCGTCACTGGAGAGTGGAGACTGGTATCCCTGAGGCTCATTGGCCAACCAGACTAGCCTGCTCAGCAAGCTCCTGGCCTGTTAGTAATCCTTTATTGAAAAACAAGGTGTATATAGCACTCAAACACCCAAGATTGCCCTCTGATTCGTGATCGTGCATGTGTGCTCGCCCCCCCCCACACACACCTTCTCCATTCTAAGTTTAATTTGAAATGAAAATGAGCAGTGTATCCTTAAATAGAATATGTTTCAAAAAGCAAAGATTTTGAGAGGATAACTGATTTCGGTGTTTCAAATCCTCAGCAGGATTTTACCTATGATTATAATTGAGGAAAAAGAGAGGTGGAAAGTAAGTTAGAAAACAGGAATTTAGTAAGTTGTAGAGTAGAGCCAACAATTGCCTTCAGTGCTCTCCACTGTGCTTTATGCCAAAGACTTTTC